GATCGCACCTCACTGGTCAACATTTAAATAGATGGGAGCACTACCAGAAGCTTACTACCGATGCTCAGAATGTTTACTTTGACGAAGTGCAGTCTTTTCGTTCCAGTATTCACCAATAGTCACGTGTATCGACCGTGACATTGTGGACAAGATTGTGGGTCAGATTTTACTCGATGATGATGAGGAAGACTCAGCCTGGACGCGAGCTAAGCGGTCTAACCTGGATCTAAGTGAATCGAGTTCTCACTACTTGCTGACAATTAAGAATCCCGTTCGATTTCATTTGATTGTTGACTACCTCAGTTTCGATATGTCATTTCGAATGGCAATTTCGGTGTTGACGAAAACTAAAGAGCGCACAGGATTAGCATCGTTAGGCTCCTGCTCAACAGAACTCCCTTCAAAATATGCCCGCTTTGTTTGTATTATGAATTTGGACAAAATAAAGCAGATCATTTCAAGCTCGTGGACATTCTCAATCGCTTTGGACATGTCGACATATTTGTCGATATCGTACTTGGATGTACGTATTCGAGTCTACTACAACGAAATTATATTGAATTTGCATTTGCTGGCAATCCCTATGCACGAGGGCCATACTGGAGAAGCCATGTTCGATGCTGTCGTACCAGTGCTTGACGTTCGTTGTCCCAACTGGAGAGACGTTATGCTTGGTATTACCACTGACGGAGAACGCAAAATGACGGGAGTTAATAAAGGACTGGCAACTCGATTTCAAAAGGTATGCCGAAGTGGCTTCATGCGTGTTTGGTGTGGCTTGCATCAGCTAGATTTGGCTCTCCAGAATACCTTTAAGGCAGCAATGAAAGGGCGGTTTTTCGGCTACATGACGCAAACAATTGCGTATCTACGACGCCAAGGAACTCTAATACGTCAGATGGATACCACCGCTCCCCTATTTCAGGACACGCGCTGGGAACTTATTGCAACTGTGCAGTACTTGGTTTATGAAACACCGAGTAACATTGACAGCACATTTAGATGCCAAAACACCGGTTTGCAAGCCGCCACTTCAGTGGTGGTTGATATTGAGTTTGGTTAAGATGTTATCAACCCGGGCAGTGATCACATTTAGAAGTCTAGAAGGAACCACAGCCCTTGTAACGGAGCAAATGGCTCAGATGAAGAAGTTGTCTAGTGACATCCAGATCATGTTTGGTGTTCGAGCTGTGGGGGATGAAGACAACAGTGAGCTAGACAACCGACCTACTACATTATCACTGGCTGAGAACAATGCAATGGTTTGTGATCACGCGAAAATTTTAGATCTGCTTCAAGATAACGGTTCATTCGCAATTAAAATCCTGGATACAATTGGAACGGATGCCGCGACACTATTAGCCTCGGATCTTGCAAGTGTAATGGCAACTTTTGTTGAAAGAGTTAATTCAATCGAGCCCAAACGCAATGAGAAAAATGAACCTGTAGAAGGAGAGCTTCCACCATCTCTTCCCCGAGAGTTTGTAAAGTTACAAGGCCGAGATTTATCAGCTTTGATACTAAAACATCGCGATCGAATGGCTCCGCACTGGACTGGCGAACAAATAGATGCCATTGAGCAAGAGCATTCAGCATTATGCGACCAGTACCGCCGTCATGAACAGTTTCGTCGCAGTATTGACAATGATATTGAGAAAGTATGTACCTTCGAAGACGCGTGGAACAATGCCGACGGAAAATCCCCGATACTAAAAAGGTTTGCAGGTGGTTTGGCCACAACTTTCCCTGGGACATCGACCGTAGAAAGTGATTTCTCGATTTTAAAATGGGAGAAGCCACCGTCGAAAAGCAGACTTACAAGCTTTTCTCTTGAAGGACTGTTGCACGCGAAACAATTCGCTCTTCTCAACAGCATCAAGGTCTCCTCAGACGGCAAGCCGGGTGATACTAGCACTACCAATGATCCTCTTATCTCATAGTTGCATCATGCCAACTCAATGCCAAATCTTATTTCTTTAAAAGGCCAAAAACTATATATTTTGGTACAAATTGGTATATGCCAAGTTTGTAGATGCCTGTGTATTGGGGAAAATGTCTTCCAATGCATTTAACACTGCCAGGTCTCGGTCAACGAGAATAACGTATGAGATCTGAATATCCGATTCACGATAAAATCTGGTAGAAGGCATTGCGCCCACACGAAATGCTCTCTCTTCTCCTCTTGTGAGAATACTTGTGACACATGAATAGTCAAATTTATACATACCACGGATTCCCACGATTTTCAGCGAGGGCATTCCGAATCGATTGGCCTTGTATGTGCAACTCATTAGATGAATGTCCGCATTTTCTCTACAAGAACTTCGCGCCCTTTTGAAAAAAAAAGTAGGTAGCTTAGACGATTCAGATTGTCTGTTTGGTATGCCGCAAAACGGTCCGCAAGTAGAAACTCAATGCAAGGGACGGATTGATGGGATGTGGTTCGATCCAGTTCTGAGACTCGTGGTCGA